CAGTCGCTATTCGCTACTGTCTGGAAAAACACGAGTATGCCAATCAAATCAATGACTCACTTTCTCGAAAAACTCGCCCCACAGTGGATCGGAAGGCCACTGAGGAGATTCCGTTGTGGTGGTGATGGCTGGCTTTTTGTGAACTCGATGTATATGCCCTGAACCATCAAAAAATCAATAACAATCGATACTATTGCGAAGTCAATCGATAAAAGTGAAAGGTAACTTACGGCTGGTGTCGCCGTTCTTGTCGGTGACATGTATGACCATCTTCAGTTGATGACTAGCACACAGACCTCCATATTTGTTGTCGAGGCCAAACTGCGACCCAGTTGAGGTTGCTGAAGCAATCGATGAATCAATAATTGATCCGGAAGGGAGCAACAAGTTACTAAATGTACAGTGATAGCCTCTATATATTATGAACTGGAAAAAAACGGTCAGAAAGCAGCATTGTCGTTACTTGCTGCTATCGGTCAACCAATGCTGCCCCGCCCCTTCCCCTCTGCAGCGTTGCTATTGGTCAAGCGATAGCGACGCTGCCGAGAGGAGATCAGTGATTGGTCCGCTAATCTAAGTGCGGCTGGACTTCCCAATTATAAGGATAGTGCTCGGGAAAAATTCTATTATTGATTTCCAACTTACAGATAAAATAATAGGTTTGTCCTGGTCGATAGTCCAGCGCCGAAGGGTTCGGACTAAGTAGCCGGAAGGACACCTTAACTTTATCGCGTCGGTTTGGCGATATGCATCGGCCAAGTTCACGAGCCGATGACGACAATGCACACGTATCATAGTCGTGTTCGGATACCTAGAATATTCAAAATAGTTGTGGCTAAATGGATTTGCAGGCGAGACTTACCCTGTAGATAATACTTTGCTCGGTGTCCGAAGGATCCACGTCGGGATCGTAGTAAGGGCAGATAATATCCAGCGAATCACCAATTGCCGCGAAACGCTCGACTCTGGAAATTCTCAAATAGACTATTTGAAAATAGTCCGATCCGTTTATTAGACTATTTATAAAAAATTTATATATTTATTTGAGCGCAGATCGGCTTGGTGAGGGCACAAAATGGTACCCAGCGAAGTCTGTACAGGTCAGTTTGTGAAGACCTGTCAATTCTTGTGATAAAGTGTTTTGCAGCTTCACAACTCTTTTCACAGAGCTCACCAAAAGTATTGCGTTAGCCACGACAACCAGCGAAGAACCAGTGCCAGCTGCACAGAATGTCCGCTCCCAAGCCCAACATCGTCTTTATTTTGCTTTTGTATGGAGCTGGCTAGGAAGCCGGCGCAGACGCAGCTATGCTGGGGTCAAGACTTATAGTCAGCAACTCAGCTATTCTTGTGCTATGATGATTTATATTTGTGAATAATTTTGAGCGTCTAATGTGAAGTAGAAAAACGCTGAAGTTAGTCTTAGACCAATTCCCTACTGATGCCGGATGCGGAGGAGATTCACGATCATGATGGCTTCCCACCATGATACGGCCCTCAAATCTATACGCACGCACAAAGAGCAAACCACCTGAAATTCCGTCTTCAAGACAGTTTGTAGGGGCATCTTGACAGCACGATCGTGGAACTACTAACCATTACCATTACCTGCCATTGAGCACTGTTTCAATGCAGTTGGCAAACTTGATGGAGCGTGATATGCATGGCGTATACCGGCTAGTACACTAGTACGACCTGTCACTTCATCAGTAGACTTTTCTATTCTGTTGTAATCACCGGTATCATCATAAACATCGCCTTTGATCTAGCCGCCCGCTGGCCGCTAGCGGCGCCGATTTACGACCGTTGTTGAGCGACACGCGCACGCGCGCACTTTCTGTCGCTACCTGTCGTAAATCATCGACGTGACAGCGGCATCGCTTTACTGTAACTTATTTACGGTATTTATGAGCATCTCAGCTTCTCTTGTGCCTTAGGCAACCGGGGAGTCTCAGCACGCGTTCCGACGTCTTAATTGTATAAACGGGCCATTGGCCACGTAACGAAGCACCCCACAAATTGGTCATCTTAATGAAATCTGATTACGGGCACTCCATTCATAAGTGTTTTCGAGAGAGACGAAGCGATGCATGCACATCCCCAAGATGGATTCATCGATGGTCTAATGAGTGTACTCAACGATCGAACGACAACGACCAGCGTTTTTCAAGTGTGCCGTTGTTGCCACTGGACTAACCGATCAGATTTTCCAAATGGGTTCAGCATTGAGACAAGCCAAATAATAGAACCTTCCAGAGGGTGGATAATGGATGGATAGTTTAGATGGTTAGAGGTCCCAGGTGAAGGGTTGAATGTGAAGGTCTTGAGGTTATCAATTGGGAAAAATGCGTAGCCATACGCTTACAGGAGTCCGAAGATTTGAAGTCACTAGAAATTATAGTTCATTTATTTGATCAGCTTTCGATCAGGGCGTGTTCGGCTTGGTGGGCATTTAGCACTTGAAACTTGCACTTGCAAGTTCTTCCTTCTGAATACAGACGTTACCTTGAGGTTGCCGTCTATTGTGAGGTGATATGAGACATCATGGCTATGCACGGTTAAAGAGTTTTGCATGGTGAGCATTCGGCTGCATTCAGCAATGCTCAGTGGGGGGAAGAAAATGAGCTAATGTGCCCACGAGCAAATGGCCTTGATGTGTGAAAGCAGGCTTTTTGAATGTCTAATATGGCATCACGTTGGAAACCGGAATAATGGAATGGGCGTAATGGAATGCGCCAAGCGAAGCGAAGCTCATGGCTGAATAGCAAGACCTTTTAACTAAAATCTAGCTAGGCTTGTGCAGCCAGCAAGTTTAGTCTGTCTACATCGGTAATTTTGGATACGAATCGCTATAATTTGCCTCCATATCAGCATTGTAAGGGCTTTCTGGCTACAAAGAGGCCTATTCAGATGTGAAGGGCAGGCGGATAAGGGCCGGCTATTTTATCCTCCTAAAGGAATTCGGTACCGGGGCGCACAGGGATGGAAGGTTGGTCGTTTACCCTCTGTCGGAAGTTAGACGACGACTGTGTGAGAAGCTTGCTGAGGGCTATTGAATGCTGAGAGCGATCTTAACGCATGGCCTTGTGGGGTGTCCTTAATAATAAATCAAGCGGCTTATGAGGAATACCAAATACCTTTCTCTGCCCCCCCATTTGGAAGGCGGCAAGCCACGACGAGAGCATGTCCGCCGGCAACAATCTGCGTACAAATAGCGTACTAGTCGGAAGCGTAGAGGTGCGGGGTTTTGCTCGCGCGGGCGGGTCGACTTTTGCCCACAATTCAGCATCCTTGTAATCTACTCTACCTTAATAAGGTATTGGGGTGAAGCAACGCGCTTGTGTTGTTGTCATATTGAAGGATTCAGCGGAACCTTGTCCAATAAAGCCTGCTTAAAGGGGCCGTTTTCTGATCCTCTCTAGGAAGAAAGGAGGATGTTCCTGCACCAGAAGCGATATGATGGGAAATTCATCACGGCTAGGGACCATTCTTTTTTTCTGCAAACCATTCAAATTTTCACTGCCTTGGTGGATTCCCTTTAACAGCCTCCTCTACTAATGAGCTTCTTGTCATTAATGAGCCCCCGTGCATCTAATAATGTCGTCGTCTCGACCAGAGCCTCTAAACGCCTCTTTATTGCTTATGCATACATTATAAGACATTCAGCTCATCTAATCTTCAGTGTACGCAACGGCTTAGCGCTAAGCGTTATCCCAACTCGGTCTACCGGGGTGCGAGACAAAATTGTAGCAGCGATGCAAATGTTTCCCATTATGGTTCCCACAGAACCATCCCTTGGTGTTACGTAGCAACCAGTTTTTTACGGCTTGGCGGGCGCGAAAAAGGAGTGCGGTTTGACTTTTAGGGGGTCGGGCGCGGCTCTTGCAAAGCCCAGTTCCACGCCATTATTCGTGAACGAACGATTAGATGAGCAACAGATGAGAAATGTGATCCTTCACGTTGTAGTTCAGAGGTGTGGTTAGACGGAACGAGGTATCTGAGCGAGAGAAGAGTCGCAGTGCACACAGCAGGTGACGATTATGCGAATACGGTAAGATGGTTGGGAAGATAGCGAAAAGAGTAACTAAACACCCTATGACAGATGTTTACCGGATTCAATACGCTATTACTCAATAGCGCAGGTGTAGTGAGCAGCCGTTGGAGGTCGTGGCGGTCAGGATCAGCTGGGATGGGAAATTAGTGATGAACTCTTGGGAATTGGGCCGAAAATTGTCGACTGCTGAGTCATTTTTTTCTGATTTGCGCTAGTTTCGCCCAAAACCACTTTTCAAGGCCGAACTGGGAAAAAAGCATCCAATTAGATGAGGAAATGTGGGATACGACACGTTCTAGGCCCTCCTGTGAAACCACAGAGGACACTGAACTCCTATATGGTCGAGTAAGCGAGTGGCATGAGTTACAAAGGCGCTGTGCGGCTCGGAGAGGGCATTTTGCACTTTCGCTATTCTTTTTGCTAGTCCCTGTTATACAACAGGTCTCATTTTGACTAGGCCTATAAAATCCTGTAAACCTGCCGAATTAGAAACGCGAGTGACGCCACTGTCGATCATAGGATTCACAGATTTTCACAAGCTGGCTGCTGCAAGCATAAGACCTGAACACTATGCGCGTGCCCCCCACCCAAGCCGTTTGACAGGACGCTGAAACTGATTCGCTGGTGATTGGTTTCACGTCATGGAAGGCATCGGTAACTTATCCTTCTGGTAGTACGAGCGGCTGATAGACATTGATGTGACCTTGTATCCAGGCTTCTCGCAACGTTCTCGGCCTCAAGGCGCTAACGGGTCCCATTTACAATCCCTTTGAGTATATCCTGTTGGCCGATGCCTGGCCCAATCCAAACTTGGGAGTGGCGGCACCGTACCGACTACGAGAGGACCAGCCTACTTCGGTTTTCCGAAGGAAATCATCACCTGGAGCAGGAGCCTATATCGAAGTAACTCTTGGCCACGTTCTCAAACTGCGTTAAAGAGCTTTGACTCAAAGTCGTCGTGCCAAGTTTTGAGAGTATTCTCACAGCGAATTACCTTCACAGTAACTTACTGTAGTTGTTGGGCATTTGCCAAGTTCCGCTTGCAGCGACCCTTGAGCCTTCTAAGTTTCAGCGCTACGTCGTCAACAATAGATAGCCCTCAGTCACAACAACTCTCTCCCACCCCTATCTGACCACTAAATCAGTGTTTTGGAAGTTCTCACAGTAATTCCTCGTCCTCCACTCAACCTCAATCGCCGCCCGCCTGCTCGTCAACTCTCCCCGCATACCGGGACATTAAAGGAACCCGATGGTCGGTTGTTGCGTATACGGTGGTCGGTCACTAAAGGACCAACACCTCTTAACCGTTCGTGGCGAGCACTTTCCGAACTACTAAACAGTCATAAACCGAAGGTCCGAAGGTCATTCAGACGTGGAGTTTATGACGCGCTCTTCCGCCGCCGCCACCGCCGCAGCCAACGTGGCCCTCGAAATAAAGGCAGTAAATCTGATAACACGTCCGTTATGACAACACTTTAAGCGAACGAACATGTGGCCTCGGAACGGAACGTTTACGATTCGTTCGAACTTACAACTCAATTAAAGGACACATGTCAGGTTCGGATTACGGTAAGTGGCCATTCGCTTACTGTAACAGCTTTGGAATTGCTAAGGTTATACCTCCAGGTCTACCACTTATAAACATGCAGCTACCCATGTAACCCCTGGTAGGCGCGTGTGTATGCATTGTCACAGTCCTGGTAATGTTTGCTTAGTCGCGCATTACTACTTTCTTGGCCGATTTGGGGGCTTCAAAGATCTTATGGGATCTGTTTGGGTAGAGTTTCTATTATTAGGCTCTCGCAGGATGTACGCCTGCGAGAGAAAGTCCCCTCCAGCCCAAAAGATCAGAGACGACCAAGCAATCTTTAGGCTCCAAAGCTTCCCTGAAAAGATCGCAGCGGCATCTCCAAGGATTTGACACCTACGCGCTGTGGCCAAATCAGTCAGCACTTAGCTAATGAAAGGTCCCGACACGATGTTATCTACTAGCTTAAGTGTAATTACGATGTCAGCATCAATTCGTTGTTCGTCTCGAATTCGCCGACCAACGACGACGATTACACAACCGTTTGAAGTTTGACACTCACCGAAAGGCAAATGGAGGAATGTGCCGTCGGAGAGGAACATTTGCCATTTGACTACGGTAAGGTGCCAACAACCTGTCGGCTAGCATCTTGACCCAGCTCATCAGGGGTTCTTGAGCATAATGCTTTGGTGCGCTATTGTGCTACTTTAAATACTCCAGGAAAGAAAACAGACTTTAGCATGGAGTGCGCAGCGTTTCAGTGGCTTGGTGGGGGCACCAAATGGTACCTAGGCGAGGATTGTATTAAAGGATTAACAAGGCCTTGTTAAGACTGTTAATTGCTTAAATTGAAGTAAGCCTGTGTAGCGCGATTGCTGTTCCAAGAGTACTGCAATGCGGACCTGTTAGTTAACGCGTAGTAAGCAGGGGAAGTGGGGAAGTAAAAATGCTCTCCTCCAAGCGAAAAGGCGTAATCAAGACAATGTAAGTTTCTGTGAAAGTTCTTTAGTGGGTTGTGGTGATTTGTGGCATTGATAGCACAGCAGGGGCGTACACCGTCTGCGTGAGGCACGAGTGTTCTGGCTCAAATAACGAACCAACGGGGACTACTTAGTGAGAGTGTGGGAGGGCGAGAGGTAGGGGGGGGGTGGTGGGGGATACGAAGAAGAAGGGGGTAGTTTCAGAACTCACCTTCTCACGTGCTCTCCCTCGAGAGGGTCGAGGAAGAAGGCATTTTTTAGTGGTCCTCAGTAAAAGAGACAGAAGATCACGCGGAGCG